CAAAGTGCCGGCCATACAACACCCATCATTCAAATAAATGTGAAATCTTTCCTTTACATAGGAACCGTTAGAATATTTTATTCTGGCATAGCAGATCTAACTAAATACCCCCCCCCTCCCTCTCTTTATTGAGTAGGTCTGTTGGACGCTGCCGGCATGAGAAATCTCTCGCTTTAACGTACTCCACGCGATCTCCCCCCGCCAGAGGTCGCCCTGGGCTAAGTGTTCCGATATCCCGACCGTCGGGCTTAGCGCGACCATCGTCTAAACACAATCACTTAACGCCGTTATTGATTTCAGGGCACGTCAATCCAAAAACTTGACTTCGCCAAAAAAAAAAAAAATTAAAAAATACATAACTCCACCCCACAACCTTACCCCTCCACCAAACCCTCACGAAAACCCTCAGACGCTCTCAAGATGGTTTAAAGTGTATAGCGTCCCATGTTAAGAGTTCGCTGGTTATGGGGTGGTGTTTTTTTTTTCCTCCGTCTTTATTATATAGGCAGTTTTTTGGAAAGCGCGGACGGGTATGAGAGAAATTTTTTTTTTTATTGGAAGGCTCTGTGGTCAAATAAGGTGCAAATAGAAACCCGGTGTCTGAGAAATATGTGTTTTGGTCAGAGGAACATGGAAGTTTTGGTCAGTCCAATCTCAGAGGAACATTTTTGGTCAGTCCAATTTCAGAGGAACATTGAAGTTTTGGTCAGTCCAATCTCAGAGGAACATTTTTGGTCAGTCCAACCTCAGAGGAACATATTTGGTCAGTCCAACCTCAGAGGAACATGGAAGTTTTGGTCAGTCCAATCTCAGAGGAACATATTTGGTCAGTCCAATCTCAGAGGAACATGGAAGTTTTGGTCAGTCCTATCTCAGAGGAATATTTTTGGTCAGTCCAATCTCAGAGGAACATGGAAGTTTTGGTCAGTCCAATCTCAGAGGAATATTTTTGGTCAGTCCAATCTCAGAGGAACATATTTGGTCAGTCCAATCTCAGAGGAACATGGAAGTTTTGGTCAGTCCAATCTCAGAGGAATATTTTTGGTCAGTCCAATCTCAGAGGAACATGGAAGTTTTGGTCAGTCCAATCTCAGAGGAATATTTTTGGTCAGTCCAATCTCAGAGGAACATATTTGGTCAGTCCAATCTCAGAGGAACATGGAAGTTTTGGTCTTTCCAATCTCAGAGGAATATTTTTGGTCAGTCCAATCTCAGAGGAACATTTTTGGTCTTTCCAATCTCAGAGGAATATTTTTGGTCAGTCCAATCTCAGAGGAACATTTTTGGTCTTTCCAATCTCAGAGGAACATTTTTGGTCTTTCCAATCTCAGAGGAACATTTTTGGTCTGTCCAATCTCAGAGGAACATTTTTGGTCTTTCCAATCTCAGAGGAACATTTTTGGTCTTTCCAATCTCAGAGGAACAATTTGGTCAGTCCAATCTCTGAGGAACATGAGGGGTCGGCGTGGTCGAGTCTGTAAAGCTCATGGTTGCTAAACCGAAAAGTCTAGAGTTCGAACTTTCGGGCAGTTGAAGTTCGTTAGCCTGGGGACAGCCACTCTTCTAGGAGAGACAACTCCAAAATCAAGCAAGCTGCTGCTTTGTAGTTTGTCCTTGGCCGGACAAAGCCTATGGAAGCAAATCCAAAAAGAAAAGCAGGCTGAAATCGGATTCAATGGCCTTAATGGTGTATAACCAGTTGACACGTATACTTTATTGTGTTGGAGTGGATCCCTTCCAACACTAAAATTAAGAACGAAGAAGAAGCAGTCTGTCCCATCTAAGAGGAACGTGAAAGTTTTGGTCAAAGCACGATCATTGTGAACAAGGGTTGTATATGAAAAAATGTGACCGAAAATATCACAGATATATACACAAGATAACAGATGGATAGATTTATTTCGAAATATCATATGGATCAAAGTGACCCCATATGGTTCAATCTGACTCAACATATCATATGGATAAATGTCACCCCATATGTTTCAATGTGACTCAAGATATCATATAGATAAATCTCACCCCATATGGTTCAATCTGACTCAAGATATCATATGGATCAACGACACCCAGGATACCAAATCTGCTGAGGAAAAGAACACTATGAGCAGCATGAACAGTGGATATCAGCACAAAGGAAAACAATTTCTTGTAGACGTCCGCAAAGAGGGCAGCCATTAATATTGATATCAACATTGCTTGCAACATTTGATAGTCAAATCTCTACTTGCGTTAACCGCCATTGAATAATTTACATACAAGCTGACTTCAAATAATGTTTTAAGAAAATTCTATGAGATCTACAATTCCCCCCCCCCCCCTTTACGGTACAGCTATTTTCGCTAGACAATCTTTCACAGCTAACAAAAAAATGTGGGGAGAAAAAAATAAACACCTGAGCTGAAGAGTTCTAACATGATAACTATAAATAGACTGTAATCTCCGACCCTTACAGACACCATCTTTGATCGTACGATTGTTAACGTCTATGTTTTTTTACCGTTTAGCATCAGCTGGCGTGGTTTGGTTTGAAAGTGAGAACATGGTTGCACGTGACTCTAAACGTTCTTTGACGTCAGAAATGGGCTGTGGGGGGGGGTGGGGGAGGGGGTAGAAAGATAGGAACTTTCTGTTGTTTTATTGTGCATACACCCGTGGGGGTGGGGGGGGGAGGTGGGAGTAAATGCTTTATATTTATATAGATTATACAAAGGTGTTATATATATATATATATATATATAGACTGTCTCACTAAATTTTAAATTAAGCCATTTCCTCATTTAGTAATTTAACCTATTTCATTTCAATAAAGCACATAGAAATAGAATCAATCTCATTTCATTCCTGAAGTAATCAAGTTCTAAACCCGTCTTTTTCTCATTCATTCCTGTCTAGGAGTGTGAATAGAATAGCTTCATATCTGGCAAGTCAGTCAAATGTAGGCTATTTAAGGGGGGGGGGGGGGGGGGGCCTTTAGTGAAAACACATTTTGTTACAAGTTATAAAAGGGTTGCTTTTTTGGAATTGTATTAACTTGAAAATACTTCAACAATATAATATTGTATTTTTTTTGGAGGAAATTTATATATTTTTAGCGAAATTTGTTGTCAAATTGAACATTTTTAGGTACACAGTAGAATGAAAATGACTAAAACAATAATTGAAAACAATGCAAAGTAACCTTGCAGATTGTTAGTAGACATGACAAATTACAATCTGTTAGAAGGAAATTTTGATATCTTACAAAATAAATTTGTGTGATATTTTTAAAATGTATAAATTTTCTATCTTTTCTATTTTTTATGAAAACAATATTAAAACTTTCACAGTTAATTAAAAAATTAAAGTACAGTCAAAACCTTCTACTACTTTATAGGTGCATATGTTTGCTACATAATGTGGCCATTTGAAGTATTTCTGACACTTGCATTTTGAGTAAAATTCATTCATCGTAAAATTTACAAAACTGAGAAAACTGAGAAAACACAAAATGAAGCATTGTTGACTAAATATTTTGTCATATATGTGTATGTATTAACAAAATAATGAATAACCTTGTTAGATGATTACTTTTCCGATAACATTTTTGGGGAAAACAGCAATTTACTCAATTTATTACAAAAAAAATCGATGCCAATCGATTTCAAAATCACAAAAAAATACGATAAACAAAAATGATTTTTAGAGGAAAAAATTGAAATTTTTCAAGAAAGTTGACTAAGGGTCCCACCATAAATAGCCGCTATATTAAAACACGGGGTCTGGCGGTATAGTAGTTCCGCCCATACGTTTGAAAGTTAGAACTATCGGCACATAGGTTTAAAACAGGTTTTAAATGCGTTACTTTAGCTCACAGTACTCACAAGCTTAAAGGATATTAGCCACTAAGTATAAAATTTATTAGCCATAAAAAATTAAAATATAATACAAATATTATAATGTTATACTCTTACAAAAACGGTGTATGCGGAAAGACTATGTTTAAGATCAGCAAGTGCTAGTACATCCGAGGTCAAAGGGCGGGAACTTATCTGGGGTAGTCTAGACACAAGGATAGATAACCATGACACGCCTAGATTTCTAAGAATGAAATGCGATAGAAGTGTAGATATTTTTTTGTTATGTCTACTCTAGTGAAGAGCGTCTTTCTAATGGAGGTCATGGGGTTCACGGAATTTGAAGCAGTCTGTTACATGGGGAGATAATTTAATAGATTTTTATCTTAAGAAAAATAATTACAATGGTGGAGTTGGGGGACAGATGTAAGGACTAGGATGCCACTTATAAATTACTCGAATATTAAGCTAACTAGTTTAGGGTTTGTAATACGATAGTTAAAACTTAAATAAATTAATTAGTATGCCCCCATATTACAGTAATTAAACTGCTAATTAATTACTTAAGGGTTTTTAATTGATTATTAAAACAGTTAAACTAGTAATAAATTAAATAATGGAAAATGTAGCTAAACAATCTACTAGCGGGGGGGGGGGGGAGGAAGGGGGATTCAATAGATTTTTATCTTTAAAAAAATAATTACAGTGGTGGAATGGGGGTGGGGTGGGAAGGGGCCTTAAGAATTCGATGTCCCCTACATATTACTGTAACAAAACTAATTAACTGATGTTTTGAATGGAACAACAGTTTAACTAGCAATTAATTATTAGAAAATGTAGTTAAATAGTCTACTGGCAAGGGGGGGGGAGGGGGGGGCACCCCTAAGATGAGATCACATACACAAAACGATCTTTCTTGTGTGAGGTCAGACAAAACTATATGAAGGTAGACGAGGAAAGGAAGGATAAAATGGACAACGCATTTTTAAATGCTTTTTTTTTCGCGAAATATTTTAATAGAAATATAGGCTTTATACCTTAATTTCCAGTTGTTTTTTTTTCCTTTCTTTCTTACACCTTATAGACGAGAATCTAAAAAATTAAAATAATTTAACACGATAAAACATTTAATATTTTTATAAGCTAATACACGTTTACTTACAGATTATACATCTAAAACCTACAGTAAATAAAAAAAAAAAAAAACATAGACATGGCCGAAGCCCCTGAGACAGACGCCCCAGGACCGTCCACAGAAGTCTGCGGACCGCTGGAGGAGATAGCCAAGGGCCACACGATCCACGAAGAGTTCTATACCTTTGTGGAGAGGAGCGTTGAGATGGGAGGCAAGCCTTTCAGTGAGCTCAGCGTGGAAGAGGCCAGGGTTCAAGGGGAAGAAATGACGAGGGTTTTCTCAGGGGAGGTAACGAGTTTTTTTAATGGTTTTTGTTTAGTTGTGCTTTTGTTTGTTTTTAGTTGATTGTTAATTCGTTGTTTTTTCTCCGTTTACTACATGTTTAACGTGACTATGTAAGCAAAGTGGTTAATGTAGTCGTGTTTTTGAAGAAAATTCGGCAATAATTTTACAGTGATAGGCAATGAAATATGTTGCCAATAGGGCTGGTAAGTAGGTCACCAACCAGTTCTACGGCTCAATAAAACCTGCATGGGCCATAGAACTGGTTGGTGACCTACTTACCAGCTCTATAGGCTTACAGGACAAATGATCTCAGACAAAATATCCAAGAAAAAAATATCTCAGGGACAAATTATCTCAGGACAAATTATCTCAGAACAAATTATCTCAAGGACAAATGCCGTGAGATATTCTGTTTGGGATAATTTGTCTGAGATAATTTGTCCATGATATCAATTGTCCATATGTATTTTGTCCGGATATCTTTTGTCCGTGAGATCATTTGTCCTGAGATCATTTGTCCTGAGATCATTTATCCTGAGATCATTTGTTCTGAGATCATTTGTCCTGAGATCATTTGTCCTGAGATCATTTGTCCTGAGATTATTTGGCCTGAGACCATTTGTCCTGAGATTATTTGTCCTGAGACCATTTGTCCTGAGATTATTTGTCCTGAGATTATTTGTCCTGAGATCATTTGTCCTGAGATCATTTGTCCTGAGATCATTTGTCCTGAGATCATTTGTCATGGAACCAACCCTACTCAACGAAATAATTATTGTTATATCTTCATGTAGTTAAACTACAACTGTACCTGTTTAAATCGCAATATACAGTACTAAAAGGGATCTGGACAAAAGGCCGACATTTTGAGAAAAAGTTGATATACCTTTCGGTCATTTTTATAACGACTTTTTGACAATGTCGGCCTTTTTTCATATCGGTCTTTTGTTCGTGTCGGTCTTTTGTTCAACACCAATACTACAGGAAAGAAGTAATTCGTTCTTTGAAATAATTTTTAAAAATCTAGAAAATACGTTTTAATGGTACTTTTAAAAAAAATTAACTTCATTATTAATTGTTTATAAAATATTTCCAGCAATACCTGCTTTTTTTTAAATTTGACACTTCCGGTTTCGGTATTTCCGGATTTACCCATTATCTCGAATACCTATTCACCGATTGTCTTATCTTCCCCACAGGTAGACTTCGATGGCGAGGTGCGAGAAATCATCATCCCATCTCCTTTCGCTAAAGAGGGAATACCCACTACAATCTACAAACCATCCAACGTATCGGAAATTCCCACAATCTGCGTCTATTTCCACGGCGGCGGGTTCATCCTCTTCAACCGGAAATCGTACGAAACCTGCCTCAAAACGCTAGCTCGGGATTCGGGAGTTATCTTTCTTAACGTGGAGTACCGGTTGCTGGATGAGGCGGAAACGCCCACGGCGCCATTCGATGACGCGGTGCACGTGACCAAGTGGGTGATGGACAACCGAGAGGCGGTGGGCGGTCACCCGGAGAGTAAGGTCGGTGTGGGCGGAGACAGTGCCGGAGGTCAGCTGACCATCACCGTGACCAATGAGCTCCAAGGTCTAGATTTTCAAATTTTGATCTACCCTAACTCGGATCTATCGTTTGAGCAGCCTTCAGTGCAGGTTTGTTGGGGTTTGTGTTGAGGTTTGTGTTGGGGTTTGTGTTGGGGTTTGTGTTGAGGTTTGTGTTGGGGTTTGTGTTGGGGTTTGTGTTGGGGTTTGTGTTGGGGTTTGTGTTGGGGTTTGTGTTGGGGTTTGTGTTGGGGTTTGTGTTGGGGTTTGTATTGTGGTTTGTGTTGAGGTTTGTGTTGGGGTTTGTGTTGGGGTGTGGGTTTGTATTGTCCCCCCACCAAACACACACACACACACACACACACACACACACACACATACCCCCCTCCTACCTCCCTCTCCACAAAGGAAAAATAGAAAAAAAGCAATTTCATTTTATTGATCACTTCTTGAGGAAGAAATGAAGAAAGATTCAACTAAAGCCTAATACAGATCCGACCAGTTTGTATCGAAAGTAGACCTACAATTTAGTTTTTGTCTTCTTGTTTTTTTTATTTATTTATTTATTTACTATCACGTAAAAACAACAAAGATTAAAAATATATTTGTTTAACCTTACGTTTATTCCTAATTTAAAAAAAAAAAATTCTATAAAGATGTGAATATTTTAAAACCAAATTTTGGGGTAGAATTCTCATTACCTAGAACCTCGAATATTTTCTTTTGTTCACACTTTGGTACACATATGATGGTCACAAACGCAATCAAATCGTTAATTATTTAATCGTTAAATCCAGCAAGCAAATACACCAGCTTGTTTTTGAGACATTGATCGGTCCCCCGTTCGGCGCGGTATTTAGATTTAGACTGTCCCATCAATACTGTTTAACTTCGCTCAGCGCACACTTGCCAAGTTGGGCTGAATGAAGCCAAATATCTGTTTACTGTTCTCCTTCCTGTTTTCATTTACTCATTCCGATTTAATTGTTTTTCATCACATTATAGACGTAATTTACGAGACAAAAATTAATTAAGTCTAGACATCTAAATAGATATTTAAAGGTATTTTTTTCCCTAAAATTTTGAATCTTATGTGTGCGTGGAAAATTGAATCAATGTTTGTTTGAGAATATAGAGGATATGTTCTTGTTTGCCTTCCAGATTTAGTTCAGTTTTCCATTACTGCGCGTGATCCGATTTAATACGAGTTAAGTCCCCTCTTTAATAGTTGTCTTAGCCCGTCAACGGCCATTCGGAAATCGGAAACAGGAATTAGCCAATTTTTTCCCCTTATCACAGTAGAGTCTTTGTAATGTATGGATCTAAGTGTAGACTGCGCCTAGCTTTACATTCTATCATAGTAACATATTCTAACATCTTTTAAGTATTTATAAAGGGTGGGGTGGGGGGGGGTAATGAGGGTGGGGAAGAGGATATATATATATATATATATATATATATATATATATATATATATATATATATATATATATATATATATATATATATATATATATATACATATATATACATATACATATATATACATATATATATATATACATATATATACATATATATATACATATATATATATATATATATATATATATATATATATATATATATATATATATATATATATATATATATATATAGGCCTATATATATATATATATATATATATATATATATATATATATATATATATATATATATATATATATATATGCTTTTCCGGTTTGTGTCCAAGATACATGGGGCAGATGCAGTAGAGTTCATCTGCTTCAATGACCTCGTCGTACAAAGGGATAATGTGGTCAACACAATGCCCAGCCGTCTTTGTTGCTATAATGTGAGCTAGGTACCCATCAGAGCTGGGTGGACTCTTAAGGCCTCGAGATCCGAACTCGAGACTTTCGGGTTAGTAGTTGTGAGCTCTACTATCCGACCACACCGTCACACAATCTACGCTACAACAAGTTTATTTTATTGTTGGTGGAGATGCAAAAAGTTGTGTGTGAAAGTTGTAACTAGCAGTTGTAAGTTGTAAGTAAAGTTCCCTTTCAAACCTGATGGTCTATAGGGCAAGTGAATTAGATTTCACTTGTTTCTGTGACCTCGGCATATGAAGGGATAGTGTGGTCAGCACTATGCCCATCCGACTATACCATCAGAGCTGGGTGGACTCAGGGACGTTCTACTGCCTTTAATCCGATTTCGAACTCGAAACTTACGGGCTAGCAGTCCAGCACTCTACCAGTTGTAAGTAATTAGTTCTTATGTGACAGTCTAGATCGACGTGGCTAAAAACAACGTTCATGCATGATACCTCTTCATGTTGCGCTAGGGGCTAAGCTCGCTCTAACACCCTTAGTGAATCGCATATGTGGCGTCCTCTAGGGTGTATTTGTTGACATTTGGTCAGGGTCATCGCTTGATGACCTTTCAACCCTGCTGTGTGCCCGGATGACATAACAGTAATGTCGCTAGCTGCTTGAGGATCGTACATAGATTATATCAAGCAAAAATTGGATATAATGTGTAACAGATTCATAATATATCCCTTATTTTTTTCAATTATATAACATTTCTAGGAATTACCTTTTTGCCTCAACATAAAAAGTGGATACTAATATTTTGGGATTTTTGTATGATAATTAATGGAAAACACCAATTATATTTTTTTTGAATCTCGTGAATAACCATATTTTTTAGCGCAATTTCCTTACAGGAATTGCGATTATTAACTCGTCATTTCTGGATGTATGTGTGTCCCCAGCTTTAAGTCGTATCTCCTCCTCAACGAAGCAATATCGAGGACTAGTTCCAAAGCAAATATGTTAAGCAAGTTCCGAGGATGAACATAGGCCAAAAAAATTCCCGGATTTCTTCCTGGATTTCCCGGAAAAGCCAAAACACCTCGAAAAATGCAGTTTTTTGGCCCATATCTCGGCAACCAGACCGCTTAGCGACTTGAAACATTTACCAATCGATTTCTGCCATAATTTAGAACAATATTGCCGAAGAAAGTTTTCAAAAATATCCTTTCGTTCGGTCACAAAAAATTAATTAAGGAAATTGCGCTTAAATTGTCACTAGACTTTTTATTAACTTGTTTTACTAATAATTATAAGGGAGTCACGTTTTATTTTTACTTTTTTGCCTCTTACATTTTCATTAAAAACAAATATAAAGGTTTTCATTGTTTTTACCAGGGAAAGAGAATGTGTATGCATTGTGGCATATACTTTTTCGTCAAATTATTCTTTAAAGCATAAATACATTTGAAAGAAAATATTTTAATGAAAAATAAATGTAAAGTTACTAGTGTTTCTTCCAGACTTTTTTTCTCCGGGGGGGGGGGGGGGACTGATAAAAGTATATATTTTCTATATAAATTCCATTTCGCTTGGGTAGTCCCCGAAGAGATGCCTGGAAGAAACTCTCTAAGTTACCCTTTAGGGTCTGGCGGTCGATATGGCAGATGAAGCAGAGTTCAATTGTTTCTACAATTTAAAAAAAATTTGATCCCTCCCTGGGGTGATGTAATGTGTATGGAAGGTGAATACGTGGAACGGGTCACTGCGTGTGTGTATGTATCATGTAGTGAGACGCGAGGCCGGGTGTGTTGACGTGTATGTTGTTGTACGGAGTGAACGAGGGTACAAGGGAAGCGACTGGTCGGGTGACAGTGGCTATGTTGTGAGCGAGAGAAAGGAGGTGTGCAGGAATGAATGCGGAGGACAGTTGAAGGTTGGGGGTGAAAGCGAGGAGGTTGATTTTGGGACTGGAGGCACGGGAGATAGAGAAATAAAGAATACTGTAATAGCCTCAATCGTGTTGTGCATTCTTTGAGATCACTTTTTTATAGACTCGCTTGTCGATCTAGTTCTGTTCTTTCTTTTTTTTTAAAAGGAATTCGCCAACTGCCCGGGTCTGAGTATGAAGGACGTCCAGTGGTTTTGCAAGCACTCGATCGACAGGATACCCGGCAACGTCACCAACCCCAAGATCAACGGCATGGCCCGGACCAACACGGAGCTCTCGCCCCCCGCCCTGGTCCTGCTGGCTGACCTTGACCCCCTGAGAGACAGCGGCATGGCCTACGCCGAGAAGCTGAGGGGCGCGGGCGTCAGCGTCAGGATCGTCATCATCGAAGGGGTGCCGCACATCTTCTTTGGGCTCCCGGGCGTCTTCAAGACAAAATGCGAGGAGGCTTACGGTCACGTCGTTCAGTTTCTGAAAGAGCTCCAACAAAACTGACCAATCAGATAACGCCGTGTCATTTTGACCGTGTACTTTTGACTCTTACCAAATCAAAAAAAATATTTCACATTTGTATAAGAATTATTAATGTATTGTATGTGTATAATTTAATTGTAACATTTTAGCTTTATTATAATTGTAAAATAATGTATTCATTTTTATGGAAGACTTTTAAATTAAATAAACAAAAGTTTTTGGCTTTGTCGAAACACTATTATTTAAGAGCTTATTTAGCCCATAGAAACTAGTCCTCAAACCAAAATCTAAATCATACACCTTACAAAAATTGACACCATCCAAAGATCTAAACATCTAACCTTATACTAAAAAAAATTTTGTGATTGTGCCAAAATTACAACAAAAAAAACCCTAGCCCTTCTTGAAAAGTTTTGTTTTAATAACCTTACAACACCGCTTTTTTTTTAGCACTACTTAATATTTGCAAAAAGAGAGTAATTATCTGTAGGTAGGCTACTATTCTCCAAAAGCATGAGGGCAGTTAATCGATCGCATATGAAATTTTACTGGTTAGTATTTTGTAGTACCCCGGCTTGGAGAGTTTAATTTATGTCAAGGTTGAATGTAACTATAGTTACCTATAGGTCTAACATTAAAATACTAGCAATAGTTTTTTTGGGGTCTGTTTCTTAAAATGAAACACACATTAATTAAAGGAACAAATATCTGGACCCGTTTAGATATACCAGTCTAGTCCGACGTTGTTCATCTAGCTATTACGTAGTGTTATCTTATCCTCTGAAATTCTCAACGAATCATTCGGTGGAGAGAACATTTGATCAGGTTTTTAAAGACATTTTTATTATGAATAATATTACGGGAAGTAACTTCGATGATTAAAAAAAAAAAGAATTTAAACCCCCAACCCCTCCCCTCCCCACTTCCACATACACACAAACGCATGTGCGCACAGACATACACACACGCCAGACAGAGGCGTAGCGACACTTCCCGGTGCCCGGGGACAAACTTTTCGATTTGCACACCCCCCCCCTCAAGATTTCGATTTGCACCCCCCTCAAACTTTCGATTTGCACCCCCCTTTCAATTTATTTTTCCAACCCATATGTCCCCCCCCCCCCCCGCCCCACCCCCCTCGCTACGCTACTGAAACACGCAGACACACTCACACACACATACCAGCAGACACACTCACACCCAGCTACCTGTTTCTACCACTTATCATTATCACACCAAGTCAGTTCAACCTCTAGACATGTGCGCAATTAAATCATTGCGTGCCGATAGCGGCCCGCAGGCCAGGGTTACAGTACCCATCTGTTTACTAACATATCAGAGTACGTTTTTAAAAGTGCACATAGCGTGCTTTCTTTTTTAAAAGATGTTTTAGACTCTTACACATGGGTGTGGTTAGTGTTTCTTTCAGGCTTCTCTTCGGGGTGCAACCCTCCCCCACCCACCACTAAAGCACGTCTACCGCCCCACCGAACGAAATAGAATTTATATAGGAAGTATATACTTTTACCCCCCCCCCCCCTCCCGCCCGGAAAATTTAGAATTTTTTAGTCCGCCTCTCCCCCCTCTCGTAAAAATTTAAAGTGCCCTCCCAGAGAAAAAAAATTCTGAAAGAAACATTGGGTGTGGTAAGGGTGGTACATGGCTTATGTTAAATACGATAGAATGTCTTTGATTTCTTTGGGGGAAAATTTCTACGATTTGAAATGGTTGGATAGGGATCGGTGTGGTTGGGTTGGTAAAGTTTTGTTAAGCTGAACCCTGTACAGATGATGCTCAGTAACCCATTTCGAAGAGAAAAACTCCTAAATCAAACAAAATTGCCTTGTAGTTTGTTCTTGGATGGACAAACGCTATTGTAGCGAACCCAGAAAGAAAAGCAGGCTGAACTTGGAGTCGTCGGCCTATATTTGTTATTTTCTTTGAATTGAAATGTTTTTTTAAATGTGATTTCAGTAAATAATTTTTTTTGGGGTACCAATTTTTTTTTATTGGTAAGCTTGTTATTGGGGGCGGGTGGATTCTTAAAATTTCATAAGATATCGATCTATATAAAAATATCTCGTAGAATTTGAGCTATTTTTTCTCTCCCCCCCCCCCCCCCCCCCCCCCAAGACTTCACTGTTTAGCACTCCATTGACAACTGTCGAACAAGAGCACACTGTTTCTGTTGTTGACATAGAAATCCCTATCTCGAAAAAAAAAATCCCCACAAGATTGTAACCGATAAGCTAATTAGGAAATGGTTCTTTTGTTATTTTAGGGAAACACACCGCTTAGAGCGGATAGCCTCCCCTTACCACTGTAAAGTTTCGGTACACAATCGATTACCTCCCGTCAAAGTAACTCTTGTTTACCGGAAGCCATCTTTTCCCCTTATCTTGTCCACGGCTTGGGTTTGGTGGTTTCATTTTCCTTTTTATGTAGGTCAAACGGATTGTCCAAAACAACAGTCACGCAATGTCCAACTATTTTAGAACCGCCATTTTTAATCATGTGACTTGATGTGACTACTATAAAACAGGAGTAAATAGAACTGTTTAAAGAAAAGCTGTTAAAAAAAAATAAGGTGTGCTAATGCAGTTTAAAAAAAAGAAACGTAATACTTGTCCTAAGTTGGTGTTTTATGTATGTAAGGTTGATTCAATTTATTTACTGTAATGCCACTTTGTGGGCGGCTATAATTCTATTTAAGAGGCACGCCAAAATCACAGCAAAGAGAAAATTCCTGGATTTATTTCTAGGGTGACCCTGAGATCAACAATATATAAGTCCAAGAAAGTAAAAGTAGCTAGGGATGCTGTTGAATACACTATCTCTTCAAGCTGAATTGAAATAAACAGAAATTCAGTCTCCAGATTGAACATCAGTTAATGTTTTACTACATTGCCAAAACATCAAAAATTGTTCTGGACACTAGTGAAACAAAGATGACATTGCTGTGATTCATGATTATATTATGATTAAACAAATTAACTAACCATACAAACAGAAAAAGAGGAAATTTTAACTACATTTTTTTCTGATTTAACATTTTATTGATTACATTTATTAGCATTCACATTTTTAAACATACACTAGCAACCAATATTTTCACACATTTTTAAACATCCACCTGTGACCAATGTTTTTTCACACATTTCTCTCATCCAACAAATCAACTTATTTATTCACACACAGTCAAATCATCAATATTTTTCCACATATTTCTAATAATCAAAAAACCAATTTCTTAACATCCATCACAAAGCCACCATTTTCCATCATACATCTTCATCAATCACCAACACTTTTTGCAACATAAAATGGTTTCTATATTTTCACACACCCAATGATGAACAAAACTTTTTTGAGAAAATATATGTCATATATTTTAAAAAGTAATTATAATATCAATGATATCCAACAAATCAAAGAAAGAATTTTCTAATTCTATTAGAAAAGATTAGATCTACATAACTGTACGTACCGGGGATTAAAATTTAGTTTAGTTTCTTTTATTTTACATACAAACAATATATATTTTCATACATTTTGAAATGATATACATCTACGTACATTATTAAATGATATACATTTAAAGACATTTTAAAATGATATACATTTACAGACACTTTTTAATGGATATACATTTAAATACATGTTTAAATGGTATACATTTTCATTCATTTTGAAATTATATAAATTTGCCATACATTTTTATGAATAAACTATTAAGTTTATGCATGAAGGTGTATTTTACTTTCAAGTTTTTTGTTTACAGTTAAAGAATTTCATTTTAAAAAAAAATTAAAAGTCGCTTCCCTTGCTTATGTAAATAAAATGAATTCTAATGTACAAGTACAAGGAAAATATACATAGGTTTATACACATATTTTAGTGTACCCTGCAAGAGTTGGAAATAAAACAGCTTTTTTTTACATTCTTATATGAAACATTTACCGTACACAGTGAAGCTGTGGGTGACAGAACAAATGCTGCATAAATCATGACAGACCCATCATTACATGAGTGCAGGAAAAACTATGAACACATTTTTTCTTTAATTGGAAAATGGAATAAGTCCTGTTATAGTGAAGCATTAAACAAAAAACATTGTAGGATTATCAAATAGTTTAAGACCCAAAAAAACAACAACACAATACCTTAAGACTAAAACAGTAGGGATCAAAAGGCAACATAAAGAGTTAATAAATGTTGCTATTGATAAAAAATCAAATTCAAATGAAGTTCATTTTTATCAAGTTTTAAATCAACATTGCATTGAAAATTTAACATGAAAAAGATAGTAGCCATAATAAATGCCAACTTTCTAAAACAAAACTCATCTAACACAACACAATCTCTAAAAACTGTAACATTAAATCACAGCTAGTCAGTGAGAGGTCAGTTATACAGCAAGATCAGCTATTCAGTGAGGTCACAGCTATACAACAAGGTCACAGCTATGTAAAGTCTCAGCTATACAGCGAGGTCATTTATTCATCATGGCTGACAGTTATTCAGCTACCACCTGGCATAGAGAAATAAGTTACAACCATACAAGATCCTGCAGGCTCTAAAGATTTATACAATCAGGGCATCTTTTCATGAAACACAAGGGGAGAGAAAAAAATCATCTTTTAATCGTCATCCGAGTCCACATCCTGGTTGTCTTCATCATCTTCCTCGGGCATGGGAAATCTCAAAATGGCAGCAACACCAGACAACTGACCCAGCTCTGTAGAGGTGAACAGCAATAGAAAAATGGAGGTGGCAAAGACACAAAAATCAACAAATAAACATTTCTACATTAAATTTTTGAAAGACTGCATTAAATGTTGAAAGAGCAATCTTTAGTATCAAGTTATTAGTTATTGGATAATTTTTAGAATAGATTGAAAAGATAATCAATACTAAATTTTTTAAGCTGATTTATTTTTTTTCCAAAATGAATGAAATGAAAAAATGATCCAATGGCTTTAACTGAAACAGATGATAAGAGCATACGACTGTTAAGTCTTGGGTTTGGACTCAGCGTAAAAGTCCATAGAGTGTCGGTACCTGACTCAAGTTAAGGGGAAAATAAAGGAACTGGGTATAGTGCTGACCACACTATCCCTTCAGGGACATTCTACTGACACAAACCCTGATTCCAACTTAAAACTTATGGGTTAGCAGTCGTATGCACTCCCAACCGATCCCCACATTCCATAATCTTCATAAAATATAATTCTTATTACTCAAAAAAGATTAGTATTCGTTTGACAGTAACTTTCAAGCACCCCTGAAGGTACCCCCCACCACCCCCAAGTTTGACTTACGTTCTCCCGAGACATGCAGGCTGGAAAAAATCTTGACCTCCGCGCCATTTTCCTTCACAGAGTCCACCAGTGAGACATAACGTTTCCTCTGGGCTATGTCTTGCGCCCTGAGAAAAAAACAACAGCTGTTTGAATTCATGGTGAAAGGTGAGGATTTTCTAAGTCAACAGTTACCCTTTGAGGCCACGGCTTCACAACAGATCAACTGTACATATAAAAAGTTCCAAAGATATCGCCAGTACTAGAGGCCAGATGAAGAAATCATAAAGTAAGCACTAGATTGGAACCCACAAATGCAGGAAAATACAGAAAGGCATAGAAAATCCTGGATAAGGTCGACTGAAAGTGAAGAAACGTCTACTAGGCTTAAATTAGATGAGTTAAAGAGAGCTTTCAAAATAGTCTAATGGAGAAGTGTAGTTTCATCCCTTTGCTTCTCAGGGGTTCCACAGGTTTAAGTAAATAACAGGACTATTAATACAATGACAGCAACTTACCTAAAGAGCTCATCAGATACCATCAGAAGTTCAATGGCTTGTTGCTCTGCTGCCCTTTCACAGTGACGAATACTAAAATATATAAACATATAAATGAATGGTTTAATTTTGATGGAAATACTAATATACGGAACCAACCATAAAAAATAGAAATGTACAAATAAACCAATAAGAAGAAAAGAAATGTACCCATAGTAAGCCCTATCAGGATCAGTCTGCAGCATGGTGTAGAAGTCATCCAATGCTTTCACTTCACCTGCAGCTTTGGTGTCAGCCAGTTTCACAGCTATACTAGGGTCAGCTAACACTTCTATAGGGAACAATTTAGAAATATTATATTCTACATGGTAAAATTAAATCCTAATCCTAATATATAATGGGCCACTAATCAAAAATTGTTCTGGACACTAGTGAAACAAAGATGACATTGCTGTGATTCATGATTATATTATGATTAAACAAATTAACTAACCATACAAACAGAAAAAGAGGAAATTTTAACTACATTTTTTTCTGATTTAACATTTTATTGATTACATTTATTAGCATTCACATTTTTAAACATACACTAGCAACCAATATTTTCACACATTTTTAAACATCCACCTGTGACCAATGTTTTTTCACACATTTCTCTCATCCAACAAATCAACTTATTTATTCACACACAGTCAAATCATCAATATTTTTCCACATATTTCTAATAATCAAAAAACCAATTTCTTAACATCCATCACAAAGCCACCATTTTCCATCATACATCTTCATCAATCACCAACACTTTTTGCAACATAAAATGGTTTCTATATTTTCACACACCCAATGATGAACAAAACTTTTTTGAGAAAATATATGTCATATATTTTAAAAAGTAATTATAATATCAATGATATCCAACAAATCAAAGAAAGAATTTTCTAATTCTATTAGAAAAGATTAGATCTACATAACTGTACGTACCGGGGATTAAAATTTAGTTTAGTTTCTTTTATTTTACATACAAACAATATATATTTTCATACATTTTGAAATGATATACATCTACGTACATTATTAAATGATATACATTTAAAGACATTTTAAAATGATATACATTTACAGACACTTTTTAATGGATATACATTTAAATACATGTTTAAATGGTATACATTTTCATTCATTTTGAAATTATATAAATTTGCCATACATTTTTATGAATAAACTATTAAGTTTATGCATGAAGGTGTATTTTACTTTCAAGTTTTTTGTTTACAGTTAAAGAATTTCATTTTTAAAAAAAATTAAAAGTCGCTTCCCTTGCTTATGTAAATAAAATGAATTCTAATGTACAAGTACAAGGAAAATATACATAGGTTTATACACATATTTTAGTGTACCCTGCAAGAGTTGGAAATAAAACAGCTTTTTTTTACATTCTTATATGAAACATTTACCGTACACAGTGAAGCTGTGGGTGACAGAACAAATGCTGCATAAATCATGACAGACCCATCATTACATGAGTGCAGGAAAAACTATGAACACATTTTTTCTTTAATTGGAAAATGGAATAAGTCCTGTTATAGTGAAGCATTAAACAAAAAACATTGTAGGATTATCAAATAGTTTAAGACCCAAAAAAACAACAACACAATACCTTAAGACTAAAACAGTAGGGATCAAAAGGCAACATAAAGAGTTAATAAATGTTGCTATTGATAAAAAATCAAATTCAAATGAAGTTCATTTTTATCAAGTTTTAAATCAACATTGCATTGAAAATTTAACATGAAAAAGATAGTAGCCATAATAAATGCCAACTTTCTAAAACAAAACTCATCTAACACAACACAATCTCTAAAAACTGTAACATTAAATCACAGCTAGTCAGTGAGAGGTCAGTTATTCAGCAAGATCAGCTATTCAGTGAGGTCACAGCTATACAACAAGGTCACAGCTATGTAAAGTCTCAGCTATACAGCGAGGTCATTTATTCATCATGGCTGACAGTTATTCAGCTACCACCTGGCATAGAGAAATAAGTTACAACCATACAAGATCCTGCAGGCTCTAAAGATTTATACAATCAGGGCATCTTTTCATGAAACACAAAAATCATCTTTTAATCATCATCCGAGTCCACGTCCTGGTTGTCTTCATCATCTTCCTCCGGCATGGGGAATCTCAAAATGGCAGCAACGCCAGACAACTGGCCCAGCTCTGTCGAGGTGAACAGCAATAGAAAAATGGAGGTGGAAAACAAAGACACAAAAATCAACAAATAAACATTTCTACAATTAATTTTTGATAGACTGCAATAAATGTTGAAAGAGCAATCTTTAGTTTCAAATTATTAGTTATTGGATATTTTTTAGAAGAAAGAGATTGAAAAGATAATCAATATTATATTTTTTTAAACTGATTTTTTTATATTCCAAAATGAATGAAATGAAAAAATGGTCCGATGGCTTAAAACAGATGGTAAGAGCGTATGACTGTTAAGTCTCGGGTTTGGACTCAGCGTAAGAGTCTATAGGGTGTCGCCAAGTCAACAGAACTCTGATGGGTACCTGACTCAAGTTGGGGAAAGTAAAGGAACTGGGCATAGTGCTGACCACACTATCCCTTCAGGGACATTCTACTGACACAAACCCTGATTCTAACTTAAAACTTATGGGTTAGCAGTCGTATGCACTACCACCCGATCCCCACATTCCATAATCTTCATAAAATATAATTCTAATTACTCAAAACAGATTAATAATATTTGTTTGATAGCAACTTTAAAGCACTCCTGAAGGTACCCCCCCCCCCCCCCCCGACCCAAGTTTGACTTACGTTCTCCTGAGACATGCAGGCTGGAAAAAATCTTGACCTCCGCGCCATTTTCCTTCACAGAGTCCACCAGTGAGACATAACGTTTCCTCTGGGCTATGTCTTGCGCCCTGAAAAAAAAACAGCTGTTCGAATCATGGTGAAAGGTGAGGATTCACTAAGTCAACGGTTACCCTTTAAGACCACGGCTTTACAACAGATCAACAGTATAACAAGTTCCAAAGATATAGTCAGTACTAGAGGCCAGATGAAGACATCATAAAGTAAGCACTAGATTGGAACCCACAAATGCAGGAAAATACAGAAAGGCATAGAAAATCCTGGATAAGGTCGACTGAAAGTGAAGAAACGTCTACTAGGCTTAAATTAGATGAATTAAAGAGAGCTTTCAAAATAGCTTATTGGAGAAGTGTAGTTGCATCCCATTGCTTCTCAGGGGTTCCACAGGATTAAGTAAGTAACAGTGCTATTAAGACCATGACAACAACTTACCTAAAGAGCTCATCAGATACCATCAGAAGTTCAATGGCTTGCTGCTCTGCTGCCCTTTCACAGTGACGAATACTAAAACAAATAAACATAGAAATGGATGGTTTGATTTTGATGGAAATACTAATATATGGAACCAACCATAAAAATTAGAAATGTACAAGTAAGCTAATAAGAAGAAAAGAAATGTACCCATAATAAGCCCTATCAGGATCAGTCTGCAGCATGGTGTAGAAGTCATCCAATGCTTTCACTTCACCTGCAGCTTTGGTGTCAGCCAGCTTCACAGCTATGCTAGGGTCAGCTAACACTTCTATAGGGAACAATTTAGAAATATTAGCTTCAGAGCTATGCTAGGGTCAGCTAACACTTCTATAGGGAACAATTTAGAAATATTAGCTTCACAGCTATGCTAGGGTCAGCTAACACTTCTAAAGGGAACAATTTAGAAATATTATAGCTATGTTAGGGTCAGCTAACACTTATAAAGGGAACAATTTAGAAATATTAGATCCACAAAAGATCTTAATTGACTTTCATTAATAATATGTCACATTAAAAAAAAGAGTCTACTATTTTTTAAAAATGCAATATCCCTACTTCGATATATGTCATCTCTGAGTAGCATTATATTGTTGCCACAGGAAAATCTAGTTTTTCTTTACCCAAGAATAATAAACTCTTAAAAAAAAAAACCACATTAAAATTAAATATTTATATAGCAGGATGGCCAGGAAAAATTAACCCTCTTACAAATCCACTTTATATATCATAATCCAAAATGGTTGTTTATTAACGCTTATCAATGGCATAAAACATTTTAATATAAAAAAACAATCAAATATTATAAAATATTATAAATATTTAAATTATTGAAAATATTAATAGAAAATGAATCAGCAGAAGAAGTTGCAAACTTGTTGGGCAAACCAACCTTTCAAAGAGTGCTTGAACCCTGAAGAAGAATGCACCAGAACAAACTTTGACCTGTTGTCGATGATAGACTTGTCATCCATCTTGACAGCTTGAGCAAATAAATAGTCAGCAAATTGGTCCTGGAGTGATGAGAAAGGGCAGGGCATTACATGGGTGTTTCATGATAAGTTTTTCATACTCTGTAGTGGCTACCATACTAAAAGATTTTTACCTTCACAAATCCAGGACTTGCTATAAGAACACACTTCACAACTGGTGAGAAGATCATAATGGTTTTGTTGTATTTGATAAGCAGGGGTGTGGGTGGGTGTGTGAGTGAAAGCAGGAGGAGTATAATAGGACACAATTTGATTACTGACTCACATTACAAAAGAAATTAAAACCCTTATGATAAATATTTTACTTTTAACTTATAAAAGCTAAATCACTCCTGCCCCACTGAAAATTAAATCAGTAATCCATTCTCCCTCACAAGCATATATTTAAAGTTGATAACTGTTTTAACTTTAATTATAATCATGATTCTAATAGTCAAAATGTTATATGTAATAAACACAAAAAATTCGTTAATGTGTACACTTACTGTCTAACAAATGTTAAGTTAAAAAATGAACAGTGGAACAAAACTTACTATCAAAGTTAACATGGCGCTGGAAAGCTTGGATGATCTGATCATAAAACCTGTGTAGACCCTGTAAAAAAAATAATACAATTACACTTTAAACATCTTTCCTTTCCAGACAATAACACATACTACAGTGTCATTTGATCTGTGTCCAAAATTTCTAACACCAGAAAACCATAAAAAGTAGAAATTACTAACATCTAGCTATAAATTCAGAAACACAACAGAAATAAATAGTTTAAATAATTCACTAGACATAAATGGTACGATTTATAGGCCTAAATTATTCTATGAACCCTATTCATTTAAATACTGATATCACTACATTCACAAATCACTCTATGAACCCTATTCATTTAAATACTGACATCACCATTCACAAATCACTCTATGAAACCTACTCATTTAAATACTGATATCACTACATTCACAGAACAAACTGAGCCGATACCTTAGTGTGCTGGTCACACATGCCCTTCCTTTTCCTTGGTATATTAGTCTCTACTTTTGCCCTGACCAGCGTCATGCTGGGGGTCACCAAGCATACATGTGCGATCCCCTCCTGCATGATGATAGCCATCAGATCTGCGTGCTGGACCGGGTCACAAGCCATTTCTGCAACATTTTTTTAAATTTCTGTATTTTTAACTTTTTATAAAGTATAGCTTTATTTATAAACTACTAACCTACAGTAAATCAAGTATCTTAACCATTAATGACCAATTACGCTCGCGACCCATATCGCCCGCTGGTGACTAAGTTAATAACTCATTATTTACTATGCAGTGTAACTGATACACGTAATCTGGCCCAGTGTGAATAGTGAGAGGCAAATAAACCTTAAATTAATTACCTATCCTTTCAAGACTGACACTGTCCCACTCATGCTTGCAGAGGGTGAATTGTCTGTTCATCTCCAAAAGCAAAGTATGATAGGCTCCCATCTGTACATGACAGAAAGAAAATGTTTTAAAGTATGATTGGCTCCCATCTGTACATGACAGAAAGAAAATGTTTTAAAGTATGATAGGCTCCCATCTGTACATGACAGAAAGAAAATGTTTTAAAGTATGATAGGCTCCCATCTGTACATGACAGAAAGAAAATGTTTTAAAGTATGATAGGCTCCCATCTGAACATGACAGAAAAAAAAATGTGTATAAAGTTGTGCTGGCCACCATGTGTAAAGACAGAAAGACTTGAATTTTATATAATATCCTCTAAAACTTGGATCATTTATAAACTTCAAATAATAACCAAGAACATAACTTCCCATATTTACCAAACAATTACCCTCCAATGGTTAAAACAAACTTACTTTCCCAAAGTTACCATCAACATACCTTCAAATATTTACCATTAACAATTTACTATGAATATGCTTTCACACAGTTACCACAAACCTACCATCCCATATTTACCACAAACCTACCTTGACATATTGATTCTCCTGTATATTTCTGTTTACCACAAACATACCATCACATATTTACCACAAACATACCTTCACATATTGATTCTCCTGTATATTTCTGCCACTGACGCGCAGCACACAAGCCTGGGTATCAAAATCTATCCCCTCCACCTGTACAGTCAGAGTTGTCCTGACTTTATTTACACTCACACTCCCTGTAGCTGACTCATTTTGAACTTTCCTGAAATATAAACAAAACTACTGAAATATTTAACTGTTAAAAGTATATGTTTATATAAATTCTATGTAAATTCAATAGGGGGGGAAAGAAACTATGGCTACCCTGTTTATCACAGGAAGCAAATCAATGTTACGTTACATGAACTCTTATTATCCTGAGGTCAATAATTGAATACCTGATTGTGGTCGAGCGAATAGTGTCCCCAACTGAAACAAGATTATATGTATGCCACATATCTTCAGATTCTTCTGGAACCAGGGTCACTGACCTGAAAAAAAAACCAGTGCTTTAATAAAATTTACTAGAATTAAATAAAAACCAAGACACATGTAAAAAATTTCAGCACTCTTTAATTACCCATAAATTAATGTTTACAAATAGTGTTAATAATGTTGATCATCATTCTTCTTTTTCATCACTTGACAAAGCTTTCCAGTCTCCATAGTCTCCTGCCACTCTTTTCAGCTGTTCCCCTTCCTATCCTTTCAGCCTCCTGCTGCATGCTGTGTTGAGATGTCTTCTTGGGTCAATCTCTATGTCGTTTGCCTTGGAGGTTACATTCTGTTTGGCTCTATTGTTAGTTTCTTTCCTAAGCATGAGCCCAATCCATTACCATTTTCTTTCCGTGATTTGACTTTCAATTGTTTCCTCTCCACACATTTCCCAGATTTATGTTTTCTACCTTGTTATTTTAATTTTTATATAGGCCTACTCCTTAAAAAAAGTTCCCCTTTCAAACCTGACGGTCTATAGGGCAAGTGAAGAAGAGTTCACTTGTTTCTGTGACCTCGGCATATGAAGGGATAGTGTGGTCAGGTAGTGAGTTAGGTACCCATCTAAGTTGGGTGGACTCAGGGACGGTCTACTGACTTGAAACCAGATTCGAACTCGAGACTTACGGGTTAGCAGTCAAGCTCTCTACCGCTAGACCGCTCCGCCCCCTACTCCTTAGGCATCTATTTATTAAAGTCTGGATTCATTTTGTTGTTTACTCTATTTTTCACCATGTCTCAGATCTATAACTGTAAAGCAGAACTGCTATAACCTTAGAGACATAAAGATTCTTCCTTTTGTTCTTTTAATAGATGTTTGATAATGTCTAGACAATTCTAAGATTGGCAAATGTGAGGCTAGGTTTATTCAGCTTTTGTTGATGTCTCCTGCCTGTTCCTCCCGACACACTGACCACACTTGCGAGATGTATAAAGCTGTCTACTTGATCATGGGACTACATGTATTAGACGTATAGGCCTAATGTTTGGCTTACCACAAATTAGGCTTCAAATAATTTCCTTCATAAATTTTATTAGACTTGACTTAAGCCTTAAGCTCTTCATGTCCTCTTTAATTATTAAACTAATTAAACCATAGGGTAGTGAAAGACCTTTAAATGCTTGATTAATAGTATGAATTTTCTTCTCGCAATTCACCATCTTTTCATTTACTATTTAGCATCTAGTATTTAGTACTAGATCTAGGTCTATTTAGTATTTTGATTTAGCCACTTAGCGTAACTTTCATATCTCATTTTTTTTTTTACAAGACCCCACAAAAATATACGGGGATGGTAGGCTATTTATTTAAATTAATTATATAGGCCCTAATAAATAGGCCTAAATAAAAAAAAATATTAATTTAAATAATTAGATCAACCCTATGAATCCCGAGAGATCGTCCCCCTGAGGTGGCCTAGATTAGATAAAATAATAATAATAGTAAAATAATAGATAGGCCTATATTACGACAGAAAAAAGACTTTACTTAGTCTAGCATCTAGATCTATCTAGATCTAGACCTAGATCTATAAGACTAGATCTAGATTCTAGATAAGAAGAGATTGAAGAACGAGAAGACATGGACGGACATGGCGATGCGAAGAAACAGAAATTGAGAATGAGTCAGACAACACTTAAAAAATTTAAAACAACACTGATCTCTTACCCTGCATTGTTTTTATCGATATTTCTGTTCGTTAGCTTCATTTTACTGTTATAGTTTCACATAAGCTTTCTTATATAAATAAAACATAACATCACAGATAGTGGCGCAAAATGTAAAAAAAATGTGGACTCGTTCCGTGGCATTTCCCAAGTTGATGAAATATAGTCGAAGGGAGAAGACTCTGTAATATCGGCAAAATTATTGCGAGTTAGAGTTCTTACTATTGTTAAACTACTTTCCGAAATATAAGTGAAGTTACGTAAATAAACGTTGGACAGGAAATTCTAGGTTAAGCCGATAATACCTCAATAAAAATATAAACTACACAACAGGGGGTGAATATTAAAACAGCATACATTTAGGGCCTATATGAAAGGCACTGCTTTTGTTTGTGATCGTTGTGTTGTCCCATTTTTTTTTAAAATTTGCACAATTCAGTGGGTTGGGTTTTTAATTTAAAAAATAATTTTAAAATAAATACATGCAGCAATAAAGCACACAATGAATAACTATATAATTTACACCGTATACTTTAATCAGAGTCCGCCGCACCACCGAAATTTTAAGTGCGTCCCCTCCCACCCCTCGAGGAAAAATGTCTGAAAGAAACCCTGGCTGTTCGCAGTGTAGATATATAAATTATAAATAATGAATAGTGGCTTGTCCGCTCGGCGACTCATTCCGACGCACGTGAAGAATGTGATGGGATGCTAACTCGATAGTTGGTAATCCGATTGCCCAATGGGTTATCCATACACGACTTCAAACTCCTATAATAGGGCGGAACTGGTGGGGTTCGGACGCAGAGTTTCTTCGAGGCATCTCTTCTTCGGGAAGGGGGGGGGGTCTACCGCCCCCCCCCCCGATGTGTGTCCAGGAGGTAAAGTGTGACGACACACTTTTGTACTTTAAAAAGAAATGTTGGAAGCTGAATTTCAGCCGTTATTTTGCGATTTAAAAAAAAATGATTTGAAAATAGTGATAGGTCTATAGTATAGTCAATGCGTTGATTGAACTCACCCAGTCAGCACACATATATTGGCCCAATATTGGCTAAACATTGGTTACCAATATTGGCTACATCTTGGTGCAACATTGGCTTAACCTTGGCGAAACATTGGTAGTGAAACTCGGCATGATGTTGGCGCAATGTTGGCACAATATTGGCTATATCCCGGCTACATATTGGCCCAACATTGGCTAGATCTTGGCCAAATATTGGCTATATCCCGGCTACATATTGGCCCAACATTGGCTATATCCCGGCTACATATTGGCCCAATATTGGCTACATCTTGGCTCAATATTGGCTATATCTTGGCCCAATATTGTCTATATCATGGTTACATCTTGGCCCAATATTGGCTACATCTTGGCTCAATAATGGCTATATCTTGGCCCAATATTGGCTATACCTTGGCTCATCCTGTATTATATCCTGGCTACATCTTGGCCCAATAATGGCTATATCTCGGCTATACCTTGGCTCAGCCTGTATTATATCCTGGCTACATCTTGGCTCAATTTTTTATTTTTAGCATACAAAAAGATCCATTCTCATATCAGTCATAATATTTACAAAGGTAATTTCAAAATGTGAAAGAAATTTTAATCAAAATGTAGTAAAGCAGCAATACATACACAAGAACTGCTCATCTATTAAAATCTGTATTATACCATCCATTCAATTGTAAGAAAATTATAACTATACTATAAAGTATTGATTGAAAAAGAATAAGTAAATTATAGTGTAGTAACTTTCATTTTGACTTTTATACAAACAAATTAAAACAAATATACAAAACATTTTCATATAATGTAACAGATGTTAAGCAGGCCTACAGTTTAAATTAAACTAATGTAAAAACTTAATTTACTGTACAAGAATACAGAAGCTGTCTTGTACTATGATACGTAAACATAACATTAAAAATAAAAAGTATAAAATATTTGTCTAACAACATTTAATTGCATAGCTCGTTTAAGTATTCTAATTAAGGTTTACATTTTAATGCTGGACCAGTCTGCCTTGTCCATAAATAACAGAACGAAAATATGTTCAGGATCTCTAGATTATAATTGTGGTTAAATAGTGTTGAAATGAATGCCATTGTGTATACAAAATGTACAATCTTTCAAAAGACAGATGGTTCGAGGGTTTATACGCATTGTGTAGAACAGGAATATCACTGCGATATTTAATAAATGTTTTTTTGTCTCGAGTATGAGGTATTTAATTATAGTAAACTGAATATATATTAATTTACTTCATTAATTAGAAATAAATATCACCAGCAGAAGTATTGTCAATACAAATGTTGCAAGCTTTTTTCAGATTGTACAGTGAAACTAAATAATGAAAGAAATTTGCAACTAATTCTTTAAAGAAAAAAATGTCAATTGTATATTTCATTTAGGGCATTAAATCTACACTAAACATACATACAATGCCAACTTAAATTATTATATTATTACAAAAGGAAACAATTTATTAATTTAAAATCAGCATTGTTCTTAGACTATTTTGGTAAGAGCATCTTTTCTTTTCGTTAAGCACTTAAATGCAATATGTATTAAACTGTTAACCTGATCCATCTGATCAAATTTTTTTTTTTAAATCTGATCTAAAATTATTACGAAAATCACTGTTGTCCTCATTCTTGTGGACCCTTGTGGAGCTGAGAGACACAACCACACCTCTCTATTTTTATACTTGGTTTTAGGAGATTCCCCAAAGTTGTGTCCATAACACTCTGCCTGCTTGTGTTTTGTTGGTTTCTGATATTTTCCATGTTTGTTTTGGATAACAAACTTTCTCTTTCCTTTGGGATTCAAATCCAATAAAAGCCTGGTTGTTGATTTGTGCAAGGTATGTCATAATCCATCCACATTCTAAAAAAGAAAAGTTACACACTAAAAGTCATTTATGAAATAATTACAACCATACACTGCTCATTTTGCACTAAATTTATTATGTTTATTTTATTTTGCACTGCACTGAACATACAACAAGAAGCCCCTAACATCATGTTTGCTACCTTGTAACGATATATTATATAGGTATAAAGACTGGTGGTCTGGGGTGTTCATGCTACCCAGGTAACACTTATACTGCATATATATATATATATATATATATATATATATATATATATATATATATATATATATATATATATATATTTATAAACAAAAGTGAAAAAAAAAGACCTGGTAATAAAAAAAATAATAGTATGTATATAAATATTATAAACCCCTTACCCTATGTCTCTGAGCTAAGAAGGTGCCAGACAACTTTTGAGCAATTTCATCAACTTTATCAATTCAGTAATTGAACGATTAGACCCTTCAGAGTGACCCAGAAGTAATGCTTGTGGTCTGAAATTATTTTACTAATATCAGTAAAGGCATTAACTACACATGCTGATCAATACATGCAAGCAAAAATTACTAAATGAAAATTATTATTCACTTTGAAACAATTAAACTTACAGTTGTTAAGTGTTAAGAACATTTAGTCATTTTCTGGTGTAGCCAGTATTTGGTGAAGTATCAAGCAGTGGGGACCTTATAATTTATTAAAGATTGATATATCTCCAGTGGGCTGATTGATATACACAACACCTGGAGGCCTGAAAATAAATGGCATTCTTAGTTATTAAATATAATAATAAAATGAGTGAGTGATACAATAAATGATAGCCAGATTAGATACTAATTTTTAAGTATCTCTGTTTATTTGATCTCTGTATATAAAGGATTGTGTAGTCAACACTATATCTAGCCACCTTTTTTATTTCATAGTCTTAAATTGGGTATATATCAGACTTAGGTGAACTGATGAATGTACTACTAACTTGGCTTTATGTTTAGCAATAGTGTCCTCAACCATTTGCCTACTCTGTCCTCTATATGATAATATGAGTAGTGTTGATCATTAAGTATGGCTTACTAATAGTACCATCTTATCGCTGTTGGTCATGAAATTAAGTGTTGCTCTGAGGTCTCCACACTACTATTTACACAACTTACATCTTATTCATCAAAACATGCATTAGACTGGAATCCCCAGGGAAAAAGGAGGGTGGGCCGGCCAAGGAAAACATGGAAGAGAATGGTTGAGGAGGAGGCGAAAACAGCTGGGCTCTCATGGGCACAGATTAGAGGAGCAGCCCAAAACCAAGTCCGCTGGAGATGTGTGGTTGCAGCCCTTTGCTCCCCAGGGGCCACAAAGGAGTGATGATGATGACATCTTATTCTCCCATAGGGACCTGTAACAGTAATAGAAATTTGAATGACAATCTTGAATCAATTTAGAATTCTAGTTGACTATTTTTTTTCAAAATTAATACCTATCAAAATACACTGTTTAACATGTAGAAATTTGTTCTATAATTGTGTCTACTGTTCCTCTCTCTCTCTCTCTCTCTGAATTAATTAATAAAGACAGTTTCAAATCCTTACACAAATAGGCCTAGAACAATAAAATTAAGTTTTTAAAAAAGTTAAAGTGAATGATTATTTATTAATTTATAAACATTTAAGCCCCCCCTTTCCCTGTGCGTGATAATTATACCTAAAGTTGAAAACCAATAAATACATCGATCTATCCAATAATCAATATAACCCCAAGCCCAAACGTACTTGCATACTTTTCAATACAAAAAAAAAGTGCTGTCAAAATTAACCGCCCTCTGATTACGATTTTTAGTTATTTAGTATTATTAGAATCTAGATCTAGATCTATCTAGATCTATCATAAAGGAGATTATTGTAAAATGTAATTATAGCCTAATGCCAAAATAAACAGAATATAGACTCTAGTATTATTAATATTATATAGTATAGATCTAGATCTAGGTCTAGATCTAGGCTCATTTTATTACCTCAAATAAACTACCTTTTATAACTTTTATTTGATGACTTAGGCCCATAAAGTTAAAGTTTCGAACAAAAAAATACGAGTTTTCCAGATTCTGCATAAATACAGTTATACTACTTCTCACTGTTGAACTAAAATGGCTACAGTGGGCCTACCTGTTTTACTGTGACTGGATACAAAGTGACAAAGTCTTTTGTTAAGAAAAATGGCGCAGGACCGGGATGCTGGCTTGCGAACAATAGGAAGGAATGTGAACAAAGGGACAATGGGCGACAGGGGGCCGGTGGCAGTAGCGCACACAATTTTAAA